TTCAAAATAATTCAAATCTTGCCAACCCCAATCTTTTGAAATGTATGGTATACAAATAAATGATAGATATGAATCAACACATCTACTAGATCTGCATGAACCACGAATAATGAATCATCGAGCAAATGATTCACTCAAACAGACATCAACATTCTTATTGAGAGAAACAACACATACTCCAGGAAAGCATGTATGATAACAGCATTAGATTATTATATTGGTGGCACAGAAGAAAACATCACTACAGTATCCCACGATTCCTGGAGCTTAACTGTGAAAACCAGTTCAGTCCAAGCACTCAAACCAGTCTATAGATGGCGCTCATCATCACAAGCACTGCAGAACATAGTGAACTCCTCTTTGTTAATTTACTCTGTATGTTTGCTCACACTCATCCCTATTCATTACATTACATTCATACAGTATTTAACTCTACAGTATTTAATTCTATAAGAACTACTATGGTGGTACCATGGAACAGTAGTGGTTTCACCATGGTACTTTGTTATTTCAATGCCAAATTATTACCATATACATGCACTATGGTATTTAAATGGTACTCTAAAGAATACTGTGAAACAGAAGTTGTTTCAAACAGTTTGTAAGGCATTGTGAAATGTATCTATTGCAAGGCTATCCCAGAATGCATTGCAACATGGTTTATGAAGTAAAACAAATCAAGGAGGTCAATCTAGAACCTGGCGTCTCTATCTGTTAGCCTAGACAGATGTTCAGGAGCTCCACAATTACATCACTAAGCCTTAAAGGAACAGCAGCAAAAACAGCCTGTGTAATTACCAGAATCATGAAGAACCAAACAGACCTGGACCAGCCTCTATAAAGTCTGAATGAATCCTGCAAATTGCTCCCGAACACCTCATTTATGTTACGTATCCGGTCCATGAACTTCTGTCTGCTAGCCATCAGAGGTCACCCTTTCCATTTTCATTGACTCTCGCACTACACCCTGTTGCATATCACCCCTCGACTACATATCCCATCATTCATTGCACTGATTGCACACAGCACTGATTGCACACAGCTGTTTCATATCACTCACTCCCTATTTAACACTCACTCTTATCCCTTCCCTCTGCCGAGTATTGTTTAGGATTTATCGCTCACCTAGGGATAGCTACATTACAGAGCCTGCTCTATCTTTTCCCAGTATTTCTTAGTCTTGCCTGTTTTTCCCGTGTATTGATTCTCGCCTGTGTATTTCGGATTACCCCCTTCATCTTGCCTTTTGGACTCTGTTTGCCCCTGACTGGATTATTGCTGTGTATTGTATTATCTCTCTTTGCCTTGCCCTGTTGGATATTGTTCACTGTCTATCGACCCACGCCCATTTACTGGACTGCTCTTACATTTTGCCCGTACTATATCTGTTTGCTGGTGTTTCGACCCTGCCTGTGTTTGTTACCACGTCTTTTAAATAAAAGCTTGCACATGGATCCGCATGTCTCACGTCTTGTCAGCCCCGTAACAGAATACTCGGCCAAACAAGGATCCAGCGGCTTTTCCAAAGGACGTTGGCCACGTATGGACACGGCAAGAATTTTATTAGCCCTTAAACAGGGTCCCCGATCATTGGACAACCATATTTGAGAGTTTTTAGCCATCGTTCCCTATTCCGATTTAACAGACTGTTTATTGATAGAGTTTTTCTGCGATGGCCTAAATCAACCTCTCAAGTCTAAACTTGGACGCAAGGGTCCACGTTCATCACTCGCTCAGTTAATGGATTATGCCTTGCTGACTGTTGGATCTTTGTTTACTGTGGGTGTTGCGGAGGAAGAACGCGACACAGTATCTGTGACTGAAGTGGCGGCTGTACCAGAGCGCACTCACAAAATGGCGGCGACAGTGGAGCCTGATCGCAAAATGGCAGACACAACAGCACCCTGTTCTGTCACAGCTGCCCATCTTGAGTCCAGTCAAGTCACCATTGATCCTCCTGAGTCAATTCAACTCACAGCAGATCTTCGTGAGGCAAGTCAAGTCACACCTGTTCTTCATGAGTCCAGTCAAGTCACAGCTGATCTCCCTGAGTTCAGTCAAGTCACGATTGATCATCATGAGTCAGGTCAAGTCACAGTTCATGATTATGAGTCTAGTCAAGTCACAACAGATCTTCCTGAGTCGAGTCTAGTCACAGTTGATCGTCACGAGTCAAATCGAGTCAGTTTATTATCATGAATCTGGTCAGGTCACAGCTGATAGTCATGAGTCTAGTCTAGTCACAGTTGTTCTTCCTGAGTTCAGTCAAGTCACAGCTGATCTTCCTGAGTTCAGTCAAGTCACAACTGATCTTCATGAATCAAGCCAAGTCACAGTTGATCTTCCTGAGACAAATCTAGTCACAGTTGATCTTCCTGAGTCGAGTCTAGTCACAGTTGATCGTCAGGAGTCAAATCGAGTCACAGTTTATTATCATGAGTCTGGTCAAGTCACAGCTGATATTCATGAGTCTAGTCAAGTCACAACTGATCGTCATGAGTCAAGTCAAGTCACAGATGATTGTCATGAGTCAAGTCTAGTTACAGCTGATCTTCATGAGTCAAGTCTAGTTACAGCTGATCTTCATGAGTCAAGTCAAGTCACAGCTGATCTTCATGAGTCAAGTCAAGTTTCAGCTGATCTTCATGAGTCAAGTCAAGTTTCAGCTGATCTGCCAGAGCCTCGTCACATCTCAGCTGTTCATAGTGGCAGCGCATGCTGCAGAACCTCCCGAAACGGCGGTGCTCGCTTCAGCTCCTTGCGTGGTGGTGGCGCCCAGCAACGCACTGTCAGCCTGTTCTGTTCCGGCCAAAGAGGCCGCCCATGAACTCTCTGCCTGTTCTGTTCCGGCCAAGGAGGCCATCTATGAACTCTCTGATTGTCCTGTTCCGGCCAAGGAGGCCACCTATGAACTCTCTGCCTGTTCTGTTCCAGCCAAGGAGGCCGCCTATGAACTCTCTGTCTGTCCTGTTCCGGCCAAGGAGGCCACCTGCAAACCCTCTGCCTGTCCTGTCACGGCCATAGAGGCTGTTTGCGAACTCTCTGCCTGTCCTGTCACGGCCATAGAGGCCATTTGCGAACTCCCTGCTAGTCCTGTCTCAGGAATCGAGGCCGTTTGCGAACTCCCTGCTAGTCCTGTCTCAGGAATCGAGGCCGTTTGCGAACTCCCTGCTCGTCCTGTCACAGCTATAGAGGCCGTTTGCGAACTCCCTGCTTGCTTTGTTTCAGCCAAGGAGGTCGTTTGTGAAATTTGTCCTGTCCCGACCCAACCAAGGAGGCTGCCTCTGAACACTCAGCCTTATCTATCAACCCCAATGTTCTGTCTGTGTTGTCTGTCTCTGCTTTCTCGTTGTTACAGTCTCCGCCATGGTCTCCTGATCGGTGTGGTTCACCGGGAGGGTTCCCTGTTACTTCTGCTCCGCTGTGGTGGTCTGTCTGGCTCTGGTGGTCCTCCGCGCCGCCGTGGTGGTCCTCTGCTCCGCCGTGGTGGTCTACTGTCTGGCTCTGGTGGTTCTCTGCTCCGCCGTGGTGGTCCTCTGCGCCGCCGTGGTGGTCTTCTGCTCTGCCGTGGTGGTCCTCTGCTCCACCGTGGTGGTCTTCTGCTCTGCCGTGGTGGTCTGCTGTCTGGCTCTGGTGGTTCTCTGCTCCACCTGCACTGCCGGCTCTGCCCTCAAATGCCAAATATTCACTTATGCAATGGTGTCCTTTCACGGGAGACGAGTTTCTGTTGCTGGACACAAAGATCTGACGCGACAGCTCCAATGAGAAGATACACAACACTAAACACCAGATCTGAAGATCTCATCTGCTGTCCACCTTCAGAAGCAGTTTATTTCCAACATCTTGTGTGTTTTTCCTGTTTTGTGATCTCTGGTGTTTGTGCGTACAAACACCAGAGATCACAAAACAGGAAAAACACACAAGATGTTGGAAATAAACTCAAAACCACAAGAAGCCTTTGCAAACACGCTGTGTGCATGCACAGATGTTCTCTGAGACTACACATAATTGGTTGGGTTTCCAACAGAACTCATTTAAAAACAACAAATCATTGACTACTTCTATTTTACTGAGGCTTGATTCTGTTAATTTAGTGGTTTTGGTGAAGCTTAAATCCAGAAGGGTGATCTACAGAAGCTCATCAGACCCTTGTGATCTTCATCGGTCTGATTAAAACAATCCATCCAGAGGAGATTCCTCAAAACTCCTTGTTACAGAACAATGGCAGCAATTAACTTGTGAATCTCCCATCACACACAGCGGAACATTTTGCATTTTATTAGGACCCAGAATAGTTTTCTACGAGCGCTAATGAGACCACCATGAGCATGATGAGCGCCTTCAGCATCATAAGAGTTAATAAAACACGTGGCAGAGAATTAATCAGCAGCTCCTCCAGCAGAAGATCAACACTGGATCATCTTCAACATTACAGGCCTTCTGCTCCGTGAGCACATCAGATCTCCAAAAACTCCTGAAGCTTCAATGATAATCATCACTGAATCATAAAATCATAATGTATATCCAAACACTATGGTATTATGTGAAAAATGCATGGTCTTACCATGAAAAACCATTGTAAAACTATGGTAAATGTCCAAAAACACATATGGCCATGAAAAGCCACTGTTAAACCATGGTTCATGTCCCAAAACTATGGTACTATGTGAAAGATACATGGCAATACCGCAAATAACCATTGTAAACCATGGTACATATCCAAAAATACATGTAAAACTATAGTATTATAGGAAAAAAAATACTAAGTATAAAAAATACAGGGTATTGTCATAAAAAAGCCATTGTAAAATCACAATACATGTCCAAAAACCAATGCTACTGCCATGGTACGAATAAAAAACATGGTAGCATGCCTAAAAGCAAACCTGGTATTACCATAGTACCAAGTCCAGAAAGCATAGTACTGACAGATGAGAAAGTCTCTGATCAGCAGAACAGCCCTTCTGAATCTCAGGTAAGTGATGTGTGGCATGCCTCACCTGTGAGATCTCATACAGTAGTTTATAATGCTCCTCTCTCTTCTGTAAACTACACAGATTGCAGCCCATCCTCGTGCTCAGGGATACGGCAGCCGTCTCGCGCTCCCTCCAGAACGGCTCGCACACACACAGCGCCTCTCATCCGTGTGTCAGCCTCCGGCGTGTGTGAGAGACCCGCTCGCTCTCTGTGGCTCTGAGACACCGACACGCCCCCTTCAGCAGCTCAGCCTATGAATAATGATGGAGGGGTGTGGCCACATCAGTGGGAGGAGTCAGTGAGCATCAGTGCTGAAACAATGAGGCTCTTTTGTGTCAGTAACACTGATGCCACACACACACACACACACAGCCAGCGCTGGTCAGACTGCACATTAATGTGTGTTGTGGCCGAGATTTTAAATTGATTTTAGTTTTAAACAGTTATTACTGGTTGGGGAGACGCAGCTCACTGTGGAATTGATCAGAAGCTTTTCTACATAATATGCAAAAAGCAAAGTAGGTCACAAACCAACCAACCCATAGGGACTTCACACACACACACACACACACACACACACTGGTTTACATTTGTGAAAAGTGGGGACATCCCATAGCTCTAATGGTTTTTATACTGTACAGACCGTATATTCTATTGCCCTACACCAACCCTACCCCTAAACCTACCCCTCACAGGAGACTTTGTGCTATTTCAGATTTTCAATACACTCCATTCTGTGATTTATAAGCGTTTTGAAAAGTGGGGACATCGGTAATGTCCTGAAAAGTCGCCTTCTCCTTGTAATACCTGTCGTACCTTTGTCATTATACACATTTATGTCCTCATTTGTCACAAAAAACGCGTACACACACACACACACACACACACACACACACACACACATACATGAAATAATCTATGAAATATGAGTATTATCCATGCACATTTTAGCCAAAAGCAATAGCAGATAACTTTAGATTCATGGCTGATCATAAATCTATAGTATTTGTAAAACAGGGTTAAGCTGTACAAGCAAACTCAGAAATGACAATGTACAGGTTATTATCATGAAAAGAAGGAGAAAAAACATTGTAAAACCATTGTCCAAGATTATGGTATTGTCTGAAAAAAATACATGGTATTACTCTGAAAAACCATTGTAAACCATGGTAAATGTCCAAAAACTATGGTATTACCATGAAAAAAACCCCATTGTAAACCATGGTAAATGTCCAAATATACATAAGCATTAGCATGTAAAACTATGGTATTATGTGAAAAACAAGTCAGAATCAATAATAGGGTATTAATGTTAATTACTCAGTATCACCATACTTCACCAGTTAAGACAAATGTTTTGTATGGCAAGTTGTCTGAAATGTTACGTTTTAATAAGAAAATGATGCATTATCTAAATAAAAATACACAAATCTATGTACAATTCCAGGAAATACATTTGAATACCGGATGAAGCCAGGTTCAAAATTGTCTTTCATTTTGTTGACATATTAGAGCTAAAGGTTTTTCTGGAGGGATTTTGGATTTTTCTTTTTTATCACTACATAAATCAGAAAATACTGTCAATAAAATACATTTTCACCATGTTTTTAGGAATAAAATGTTATATAAACCAGTGTGAACAATGTGTGAATAAACCCTTCAGAATATGCAAAGGAATAAAACTCTAAGTTTTGGTGTACGTAAGTGCTGCTGAAGTGGAGGAAAAATAATTTAAAGATATGTTTCGACATTGAAATCTACATACACAAAAAGATAAAGTGTCATAAAATAAACACTTAAATGTGTATTTTGGATGTTTTCTTTACACTAGCCTGAAAGAATACATGTTATGGAAGCAAAACAGACCAAAATCTCAAAATTGAGCAAACAATGGTTTTGCCGGTAGTGCTTTGCTTTAAAGAGACGTCCAAATGATGAGCTGCAGAACATCATCATGTCCATCACAGCAGGTGTGATTGTGTGGCTTTCAGATACACGACACACTGAGAAGAGATTACAGAATTAACCAGCTCTAACTGCTCAGAAATTGGCACTGATCTCACCATCACACACACACACACGCAGACGCAGACACAGACGCAGACACACACACACACACACACACACACACACAACCTCTCTCACACACACACACACAGACACACACACACATACACACTCACACATAACCTCTCTCACACACACACAGACACACACACACAATTTACTGCTGTGGCGCGGGTATGCCTAATAGCTCACAGTGCTCAATGAATCAACCTCTGACTGAGTCTCACCAAGCGACACAAATTACCCACAAGCCCACTGAGACAGTCAGGGAATGTTTTCCAGTTTATCTGGTTTAATTAAACCGCTGTCCGTGTGCACGCTAACGTCTGGAGGAAACATACCTGCATCTCCACGTTCAGCCCGAGGGGTTTGTGCTTCTTAATGGGCAGTTTGGGTCGGATGGTCAGCGCCTTCAGCATCTCACACATTTACTTACAGCTGCAGGAAACAGACAGTCAGACTATATGCAGGTTTAGTTTGATAACGGCCCTTCTGACCAATCCAGCTTAAGTTGGTCCTTATCTGGTTGACCAGCAGTAATGTTCCTAAAACCTGCTGGTTTGGAACCGCTATACCATCATCACCCATAATTCTTGATACACACATTTCTAATGATCAACATGATCAAACTTTGATGTTAAATCTGTTTCACACTCGATCTCCTGCATGTCTTCTGTCTCTGATTGATAGTTTAGAGTGTTTTATCCAGTCAAAGCTCTTTTAGTGTAATTCTGGAGCTGGATCATCACGTGTCAAATCTTGACTGATTTTGATCAAGTAAGCGTCAGAATAACTGCAGTAATATCTCCAGATGAACACTTACTGGACTGAAGCAGCTCAGCTTTACTTGATTCTCCATCAATCATGTTTTAAAGTCTCAAATCTGATCCTCAGGATCTTTTGAGGAGCGTTTGTTTCCAGAAGCTTTACTTTCACTGTTCCTCAGCGGAGGAATGATCTTCACAAGCCTCCAGAACATCTCACATCTTCTGAGGAGCCTTTATTTCTTCAGCTCTCAATCACTGCTTTATATGTTTGGAGCATTTCAATCTCATCTTACTGAGACATGTTACTGGAGATATAGAGCGACTGCTGATATTTATAGCATTTTATGTCAGTATCTGCTGTTATAAAGATCTCATTGATTTACATTACTAACATAAATATCAGCTTCTGCAGCAAATTCATATTTTTGCTCAGTTTAAATCTCTGAATAAAACTGAGTTGTTTTGTCCTCCATATTCTCACAATATGAGCCATAAAACCCTTTTTAAAAAAAAAAGTTTTTTAACAAATATTCAATAAACTGTTCCATTTCCAAGAATAAACATTGAAAAACACCTGAATTAGACAAAAACAACATCATCATGTTTCACAGTTGAACTTATGACTTTTGTCTCTGCTGATATTTATAGCATTTTATGTCAGTATCTGCTGTTATAAAGATCTCATTGATTTACATTACTAACATAAATATCAGCTTCTGCAGCAAATTCATATTTTTGCTCAGTTTAAATCTCTGAATAAAACTGAGTTGTTTTGTCCTCCATATTCTCACAATATGAGCCATAAAACCCTTTTTAAAAAAAAAGTTTTTTAACAAATATTCAATAAACTGTTCCATTTCCAAGAATAAACATTGAAAAACACCTGAATTAGACAAAAACAACATCATCATGTTTCACAGTTGAACTTATGACTTTTGTCCCTGTTTAATACAATGCTAGGAAAGTTTCTTGTACACACTGTGAGATTTCGATTCGAAGGCTGGTGAACGGGGAACATGAATAAATAAACCCCTCTGAGCCGTGTGTCGCTCCCGATACTGAAGTTCCTCAAAAGTTCATAGTTTCCAAATATTTGCAGTGCAACGATTTCAAGTGAGATGTTCCATCACCCGCAGAGACACGTATGAGAACATGAATTATTCATGACTAAACAAAAAACAAAGTACGAGATTGAATGTGAAGATGCTAATGAAGAGAACACTGAACGCGCTGATTATTTACATGTGAACTTACACACTTTTCAGTATTAAAAAGCATATAATCAGGCCATTCAGAGAGTCAGAAAGCATGTGAACATTATCCTGCTAACACACTGGCTAAGATGCTCTGGTTTGAAGGCTTTGGACTGGTTTTGGGGACCAGCTAAACTGGCTTAGACTTGCAGCAAACCACTTTAGACTGGTTTATGCTGTGTTCTACAGTTCATAAATATAAGAAATATAGATATATTACTGTCACTTTTTAAACAATTAAAAAAGAGGAATAATTCACCCCAAAATATAAAATTATTGACTTATCTTTATCTCAATTCTGTATTCTGTTGTCTGTTTTTCCTTGGTTTTGAAAAAGGAAGAGATGCTAACAAACGTTGTTCTGCACTTAGACTACATTTAAAAGATATTTAGGCCTAAATGTAAGATTTATTTTAATTCCATATCAAATTCCCATCCATTTGGATTACACAGCTTCAACATACAATAAGAAACTTGAAGTAATGCATATTTTTCAGTCATAAATGAAACAAGTCAGATTTCTGTAATAGTACTAATAATCTGAATGTGTTTGAAATACACAATAACCAGGTTTATACATTTATTATCAATAAATCCAATTTGTTTCAGTTTCATACATTTGAACTGATTATTGCTTGTTCCACAGCTAGCCATATTTTAATAAATTTTCATACTTTTTTAACTGAATAAATGTAATTATTTTCACAATGAACAGATTTATGCTGATTCTAAGCAAATTGAATAAATGTATTTTTTAAATATGATGATTTAAATAAATCATGCAAACGGTTTATAATAAATTATGCCGTGATTTTTTTTGAGTGCAGAAATCTGACCTATTTCATTGACTGACAAATATGAATCACATTATGTTTATTCGTTTGTTTTTGTTAAAACTACTTTATCTAAATGGATGGAAATTTTATATGTAATTCAAATACATAAATCCTAAATTTAGGCCTACATTTTTTTTTTGGGCACCAACTAGTATTTTGCACAAATCTACTCGCACTCAAATGTCCCTCTGGTTCATATACAGAAGCTCTGAATTCTAAGTGTGATCATGAAGAACGTTCT